GTGTGTGTGTGTGTGTGTGTGTGTGTGTGTGTGTGAGAGAGAGAGAGAGAATGTGAACACATTAAAGAAAAAAGATAAAAAAAGAAAGAAATGATGCTGTCTGGATTTAGACTAACACTGTAGACTACCAGTGGTGTCCTCCTACATTGTCCAAACATTATCAACACCCCCCCCCCCCAAAAAAAACCCAAATCAGTTCTGTAACTCTAATATGCTGTGAGAATAGCCCTGAGATAGAAGGAAGAGTAAAAGCCTAGGCAATAGTCTGATAAATGAAATCTGAGCCCAAACCAGAAATTTGGGAAAGTGTTTCAGAATTGATCCACCCTAACAAAGGCAGGAGAAGGGGGAAGCACTTCTAAACTGGTTACTGCACTCTATAATATAACTAGTATTCAGTAGGTTGCTTTCCTAATCCGGACTACCTCAAAGGGCCAACAGTACAGTAACACAGTGGTCTCTACTTTCCTTATATGTTGAGGATGCAACTAGACGTATTATGTTTCAATTCCACGAGGAAAACCACACCCCTGAAGCACCTTCATCTTCTAGTCCGGGGGCGCTGGCTCTACTATCCGAGGATAGGCGGCGAAAATGCCCTGCGCCACCCATCCCAATTCGGGGCTTTCTTCCAATGAATCGCCCCTTCGCTTTTGCCAGCAGAATCACCCGGGACTCGTGGGCATTTATCCAGAAGCCCTAAAATAAAGGCTGCTGCGGCTTTTCCCATTAAACGACGCGAGGTGTCAGCAAAGAACCAGCCGCTGGGCTGCAAACGGTCCTCTCCAAACCATACAAGGCGATAAGGAGGAAATGCGGGGAGTCCCTTTAGTGGTTCTCCGCATTGCGCTGCGCTTAACTGGAGGCTTCGTTTGGAGCTACTTCTAGGACGTTTCACCTCCCGACCCCACCCCCGCCTCGTTGCACCCCTGGGTGCAAAAGGTAAAGAGGCGTTTAATAACTTTTGAGACTCAGTCTCTTGCCTTCATCCTTAAGCGCCTAAACGGGATCCCCCATTCACCCCTGCGCTTCCTTCCCCGCTGCAGAGATCCACATCCTTTTATGGGCACAGCCACCCGACTCCTTTTCCTCTGGAACAGGAGAAAGAAGAATCAGGCGGCGGTCAGCCAAACCTCCCCATCCCTCGATTCCTGCTCTCTCTCCAAAATGAATATTCCAATACTCAATGCTTTTCCCGATCCTCCGTCCAGCAATTGAGAGAGGATTCCGTTTGTATTACCCTGCCTCTCCCTGGCGAGAGTTTTCTGCCGAGAACGCCCCCTTGCAAACCCTCACCCAGGCCCAAACTAACATTAATGCCGAAAGCGGGTTTAATAATAAATACTAACATCGTCCTAGCTACCGCGGGAACTGCCGTGCGGACGCTCTGCCTTTTCCAGCGCCCTGAGTTCGCCCACGGGGTCCACGGCTGCACACCGTAAAGCGGCAAGGGCAGACAAGTTCCGCTCTTTTTTTTGTCCCGAAAGCTACACTGCCCTCTAGAGGTTTGGAGGTTTCCTTCTCCTTAAGATTGCCGTTGTCCTTTTCTCGGTAACTTTTGCGAACCGGTTTCTCCTTTCGAAGTTCCATCGCATCAAATGGGAAAAAAAAACCCGGAGCCGTTAATTCATCTCGGGAAGAAGAAGAAAAAAGGCAAATATCTGGGTAGAAACGTAGGGCGGTAAAAGAAGCGTAAGATGTGCGTAAATGGGTGCGGAATCCAGAACGTGGGGCTAGAAAGCGACAGATAAGTGCAATGGAGAGGCGACTGGATACTCCGCGTGTGAAGTATTGGAGAGAGTGTGTGTGAGAGAGAATCTCCGTAGACGTGTACTTGGGGGTTGTTATTAATATGAAAAAGAATCCCTTTTTTTCTTACAATAAGAGTAAAATATTCGGAGCTCCCCCCTTTGGACATTTACCAGGAATTAAGCTTCAGTAAATCTACCACACTTTTAACAAGATATTTTCCGGATGTTTTTGAATTATACTGTAATCCTCAGTTCGTTGCCAAGAGCTTTGCTGCTTGGAGCTATTAAGGGTGAAGATCCAAAAACGACTGGGAAGGAGTGCTTTTAAGGCTGTGTTTCTGAACCTTGGCGTCTTCAAAATGGGTGGACTGCAACTCCCAGAACTCCGCTTTTCTTCAACATGATAGCTAGGGAATTCTGGGAGTTGAAGTCCACCCATTTTGAAGCCGCCAAGGTTCAGAAACAAAGTTTTATATGTTGTGTGTACAGAGAGAGAGACAGAGAGACAGACACACACACACACACACACAGAGAGAGAGAGAGAGAGAGAGTCAGTCAGTCAGTCAGTCAGTCAGTCAGTCAGTTGTCTCTGGCCATGGAATTCATAGTTCTTCAGAGCTCAAGAGTGTTTCACATACTTGTCACTTTTGTGTCTTTACCCAATGCTTAACAGTACCAAAAACTCATAAATCCCCCCCCCCCCAATAAGACTGAGAAGTCACAAGCTCATGACATCTCAAGGTACGGTTAAAAAAAGTCAAAAGGGCAGCATCTGTGCAATATTCTACCACTTTTTTTCCATATGCGTATCATATGTGCACAATGCAGAGCCTCAAACATAGTTGAGGGCATCTTGACTTTTTTGACTATACAAGATAAACCAGCCGAATGTCTCATGGCCAGCATTTTCTGTTATATATACCCTGCTAGCACAGAGGTTAGAATGCAGTATTGTAGGC